ACGTGATAAGAGATATAAGAATGGTGAAATACATCTCTCATTACTCTTGAGAATTTCTCACAATCTAACATACATGTTTCTTCACATATCAACACCTAACGATCGATGTCTAACGTACTAATTTTACGCATACATATTATGGGACTGCATGCAATGAATGGCCCGAACCATCAAGCGTACTTGTGCCAACCAAGAAGCATAGAAATGCAAAGCCTAATAATATAGAGCTTCCCTTTTTGTTGCCTCACCATTCTTTTCCACTTGGCAAGTCTCCTGCCCATGCTTCCCATGACCAATATCTATAGCTTTGCCACTTTCACGAACAAATTTTGACTCTTCCTTCAATTCTAAACCCTAATTTAGTGGCTTAAGATCTCAAGCACTTGTCTTGGAATATTTTAACATCCACTCCGTATAAACTAGCTTCAAGCCTTCCAAATGGTAAGTCGCAGGGTCCACTTGTACCTTCACATCACCTCCATGCCACCTGCACTAGCAGCGTGTATATCTCTCACCTTAAAAGTCCTCATCGGAAAAATTTTGCCTGCCATTAATGATTGTCCCTCTTGTTGAAACTAGTTCTAAGTGGAACAGTTGAGATTCCTGTTGCAGTTAGGTGCCCCATATGTGGTATGATTTTGCTTTAGAAAGTTTTTGGTGAGAATGTTTGTTATCACACTTACACAAAAATATCAACTTTAATAGTATAACTCATATTATAACACGTTTATTAATTAGTAATATCATGCAACGACTGAAAGTTTTTTTTAAATAATGAAATTTTTGAAATTTTGGTGACTCTAGTTGACCAAGTTGGCTTCTCCAAATGGAGAGACACCATTGTAGTGTTCCAAACCAGTAATATAATGTCTTGTGAGAAAAGTTATATTACATAATAATTGTATTATTGATTTCAACGCTACAATGACATTTCATAGTGTAGATAACTCCTTCCCTCCAAAGATACTGTGACATTGTGTTCTCATTGCCAAGTCCCCCAAGAACATCATAGTCACATTTCCCACTTCACGCGTCTAATCATGTCTCATTGCCATGTATACGATTAGTAATGGAAATGTTCTCAAACCTTATCTTATAAGTAGAAAGCATCAAGCGATAAGATTTTTTATTATACTTAAATCCATGTGGACCTATGAGACAATGATCTACTATTATCCAGCTGACATAGATCCAAATCAGATTGGCCCTATGAACAATATCTCAATGAGAGACGTACATACTTAGAGATGAGGCAGGTGTGTGTGTTAGCAACTTGGGGACACCATCAAAATGTCACCGAACTACTTTAGTTAGGAGATAATTAGAAAGATTTGAAAATTAAAGTTGGTGGGGAGTGCTTTCTTTTGTTGCCTTAATTTGTTGGGATGTTTAGGAAGTAAATTCTAAGGGAAGTGGGTTGATTTTTTGAGTTGAGACTGTGACTAACTGAGACACCACAATCACAACATTCCCTTTCAACAGACATAACGAGCAAATAGCTGCATCGTTGGACTGTCAAATAGAAAAAGATTCGTATACCAAAAGATGGTGACAACCTACAGCTGGTAGGGTTTAGCTCGTATTTGGGTGACTCTTTAATTACAGTTGAGACATGTCGTGGAGCATCTGTAGCCAGTAGCTTCTCTTTTGACAAATGGCAACCATCAACGGTTTCATATCATAAACTGATATGGCGTGTTTGTTTGACGGTAAACCATAAGATTAATTGGTTGTGTAATCATACGAGTGACTGTAACATGGTTAATCACATAACATGACAAAGGGCTTGTTGATCTAATGAAGTGTTGTTCATCCTTTGCATCTAAGCTCATGTATTCGCCTGTCCTCGTTGCTTGGGCCTGAATAAGAATTGTGTTGACAATAATAAATCTCACATTGATAGGAAAATGAACCTTCATGTGCTTATAAGTAGTTAGACTAGCTCCTCCTCATAGTGCCAATTGATTTATACTAGAACTCCAACTTTCTTTATGGTATTAAAGCAGGTTGTCTCACATGTGACGACCCACGGCCACATGCACTCCACATCACCCCCATTTGTGTTATTCACATACTAGGCTTGAAAATTCATCACATATAAGGGAGCGTGCTGAGAATGCAGTCCCACATTAATGGGATAAGGGACCACAAATGTGCTTATAACTTATAAGTAGTTGGGCTCCTCCTCATATTGTCAATTGGTTTTATGGCATAAGACAAGTGATTCATCAAAGTAGACATACCTAGAGATATAAACCCTATTGGTGAGGGGATCTAGACATTGATGGAAGAAGGGACCTCCCTTGTGTGTGCTTATAAGTAGTTAGATCGCTCCTTATATTATCAATTAATTTTATAATAAAACCCTAATGTTCTTCAAATTGGACCTAGGTACGGCACTCCATTTTCGAATTCAAACCTCGGAGCATTTGGGTTGCAAAAATATTAGTTTAAGACCTTGTAAATCCCTACTGAAGTGCTTTTTCATAATCAAGTTGCTATTCTAGTCCGAGGTAAAGTCAAGTGATTCCGGCCTCTTTGATTTTACTGCAACTTAATCATTTAGATTAAGATCAGTTTTTAGACTTAGGCTTCTAGATTTTAATTGAGTCATTCACTGAAGATTATCTCACTTGTCGTATTTGGCATTCACCAAATAAATTATGAAGTTTTATGTCTTTAAGGCATAAAAAGAATCGACACTGAGCCATACAAAAATGTATCCTCTCCTTGGCAAACTCTAGACTCCTTTTAAAATTTTTGTTTTTTTTTCTCACTTACAAGTGAAAAGGAATACCACTAAACCGTAGTACTAAGTAACGACTCATTTTATAAGATTAACGTTGTTGTATAAAGTCCGGTATAGGGTTTAGTGTACCATCTCAATCAACAATCATATGTATCATCTATCTAATATAAACTGATGAGGTAAGAGACTGGCCAAGCAATGATCGGCCATGTGAGACTCGACGTAACACAGAAGGAAGGGTGGAAAAGGAAGAGAAATTTTTTTAGTGTGACGAAACATATCAACATGAGGTGCCATAAATTCACATGTTACGTCATATTTATTATGAGTAATGCTATTATTGCTATCTAAATGTACCACTTTATACAATCTTATGTGGCAATTGAGGTGCGTAAGCCATAATAATTATAAAAAATTATTGTGAAAAATAAGGTGAATCACATCAAAATCTCAAATTTCAAACCCTAGTTTTGTATGTTTTCATGCCTCCCTCCCTGTAGCCTTCTCCTCCCTCTCATCTGTCCACATTCACATCACTTCTTCAACCTCCTGACAATCGGAACTCCAACCCATCCTTCTCCTGCGAATGAATTGATGGTGACTATTTCAGAGATTATACAGTTAGAAGTTCTCCAACTGTCAAGCATCGCATCGATTAACCGCTACTAATGAGCGCTTCCCATCAGATTGTCAATTTTTCAAGTTATAACCCAATTAGTTATCAACAAAGGATGTGGATAATTCATTAACATGGATGAATGGTACGTATAACCTGAACAAATTAATCATGAGTCAGAAGATATAATTCTATGGACATGCAGATCGACGACATTTGGGAGAAAAAACAAAATCGATCTTGAGAAGCAAGTTAATGACAAAAAGAGGTGAGGGAGGAAGATAAACTAAGGACACCTAAAATTTAGGGTTTGAATTATTTCTTAAACTTGTTGTTAATGAAAATTTGAGATTTATTTATGTGATTATCTACATCAAATTTTATTTATGTGATTATCTACCTCAACTCCCACAAGACTTTTGTGCATGAAAACGGAGCAGCGTGGTGATGGATATAGGGAGATGTGCAGTGGAGAGATGAAGGGATTGAGGGAGTTGTTTTAATTTGGAGGGATAGAGGGAGATATTTTCGACGTTTGATTTGTGGTTTTTCAGGAAAGAAGAAGATAGAGAGAGAACGGGCAACAGGGAAACCACATATCAAAATCTAAAAAGATGCCTAGTTTGGCGTGAAGATCACCAGCCTTATCACAAAATAAAGGGACAAACAATAATTACCCATTATCCCCTAATAAATAAATTATATAGATAATATTTTATTATTTGTTCTATTTAAAACAACACCATATTACACTCTTGCATTATATTATTTTATTATATTTCTTTTTATGATCAGAATAAGATCAGCTTATATTATACTCTTATGTTAGATATGTATATATATATATATATTTTTTAAATAACGATCTTCCTCAATATTTAATTATCTACTATAAAATAAATTTAACTAATTTATATCGTATATAATATATTTATTCCAAGATATACAAGAATAATTTTTTTGTAAGTGTCAATATGTACTTATTTACAAGATATACAAGAAATTTACCTAAATCGCCTAGGCGCCCGCCTACACCCCGCCTAGCCGCCTAGGCACTAGGTGCTGCTCAACTAGCGCCTAGCGTTTTTTAGAACCTTGCCCTTCATCGACAATTTTTGCAAAATCAGTTCAACCTGTCTTTGACCATTTTTACAGAATCAGTTCAACCCGTTCTTAACCATTTTCTAGAATCAGTTCAGCCCATCCTCGTTCAACCCGTCCTCCACCATTTTTGTAGAATCAGTTACATGTCTTCGATCATTGTTGCAGAATAAGTTTCAAATATGTACAACATGAACAAAATTACATACACGTCATTAGTCCAACCGGACCTCGATCATTTTTGCATAATTAGTCTTAAATACATGTAGAGTCAATTTTATATAATTTTTAGTAAAGCAAATTTGTATAGTTTTTAGCAAAATCAATTTTAACCTAGAAAAGATATTTGAGTCTTTCATTTTCTTTTTCTTTCAGCAACAGAACTGACCTTCTTTACCATAAACACTCCATCATATATTGTTTCGATAACGAGAGGGAAAATGCGGTTAGAAAACTCCCCAACTTAAAGTACCAACGGGCTAAAGTGATTTTCTTATCGGTAAATGGGTGCTTGAAATGCCTTTGAGTATGGAATGGGAAGCAACAAAAGTGAAAATGAAATATTTAAGCAGCTTCTCATAAAGTTGCTAACCCAAACTCCACAATATCTCTCCACTACTTTTCAATCACCATCCGCAACGTAATCAGAGTACACTTCGAATAAATTACCGGCAACGTACATAAAAAATCAACACAGCATTTCACATCGCACTGAGTACGCGAGTCAATGAACAACCAAATTAAAAACTAAAAAAATGAAACACTCGTCCACCTCTTCAAACATCAGAGTCTAACTTCTGCACCAAGCCTTATTATTGCCTGACAGTTTGTTGTATTCCCTTTTTTTTAGTAGGTGACCTTGCATGCCATCTAATTTCTGCACCAATATGAACAAGTCTTTCTTATTGCTTCACATTAGGTCGTTATTTTGGAGAAATTGGTGAGTCTGAACCCTGTGTAATCATAGGAGCACCATATCCATATGACACATGAGATGAGAACCACCATGTACTTCTAAAACTAAACTTGGAGACTTTAACGAAGCTGAAGGTAATCTAGTACACTAAAATGTTCTTGAAGAACTGAAACATGTAAATTGAAAGATGACCTTATAGTCCAAATTGACCATGCCATTAGACATGTGCGGCTCATTTGCAAACTGTAAATAAAAGTCAAAATAAATGGGTTACATCGCTACTTCCACATTTTTTTTCTACACAAGAAGAAAAGAAGGAACAATTTAAACCAAGGATGAATATTCACCTGAGCATTAGCCTTGAGAGTGAGCCGGCGTCAGTTGTTGATCTTCCCTCAAATTTTAATAAGATCTTAGAAAATTAACAAGACTAATTCTCTGATCAGTGTGATCAGCTGTTGAGCCCTATTGAAACCCAATCACCAATTCACACTTAGTAAACACGCATGCTTCCCCATTAACAACTCTCCGAGTACACAATCCACATATAGAAATGTCACCGGATGCGGTGACAACTCAACTTTGCGATCAAAGTCCTTCATCGGAAACGTTGTCGTCGTAAACAGAAGTCTGCTATAGCTTGGGTTTATGCAGCTGCTCCTGCTTCTGCTGAGTTTGGTAGTACGCCAAAGCACCACTGGTGCTGCTCCTCCTGTTGAGAGCAGCGGCGGCAGCAGCAGTCTGGTTTTTCCTGGAGCTTTGAGCCGATTGAAACATGGGAGGTATAATTGGGGGTGGTGATGACGGAGCAGAGGCGATGGTCGGGAGGGATGTAGATGGAGCCGTACGAGGAAGGAGGCCGGTCCTTCATCGCCATGAATGAAGGTTTGGAAGAGGAGACAAAGGGTTTTAAACGCTAGGCGATGGCGCGTGAGGGAATTCCAGAGAAAAAGAGAGAAGGTAGCAACGATAAAGGATGGACGTGATAGATGTGCGTGAAAGAATTTACCGCTATAAAGGGTAATTTTGTAATTTAAATTCTACCAAAAAAAATGGTTTGAGTGTTCGTTCCTATCTTAAAAAAAATTCCTCGACCAACCATTGATGGAAAGAGAGATGAATGGAACGGAGACACTGGCACGGACTCCCAACTGACTACTCCTTTGCTATCCAAGCAGGATGGAAAGCCGGACAGTGTTGTTGTTGACATTGTTGGATACCTAATTGGACTTGACTAACAATAAGTATATATATAAAACTATCTTTCACCCCATAGTGATAAAGCAACAAATGGTTTGCTCCAGGTATCACAGGCTATCGAGGAAGGTGAAGTCATTGGGATTATCACTCTGAAAGATGTATTTGAAGAACGCCTGCAGGTAATGTACACACAACTGATATTCTTGTGCTTTCAGTTAATGAAAATTGTTTATTTGGTTGTAGTGATGATTGTCTTGAAAAATGCAGGAGGAGATTGTGGATGAAACAGATGAATATGTTGAAGTACATAAAAGGTCTCATAGAGTGACAAAAGCAAATAGTTGGTTGACATTATGTACGAAAGTTATAATTTGAAAGTGGATTAATCTTCTAGTTCTTTGCAGAATACGTGTCGCTGCAGCTGCAGCTGCTTCATCAGTGGCGCGGGCTCCATCGACTAGGAGGTTAAATGTGAACAAGGGACCTGCCAATGGACAAAATGTACTTCCCCCTTTCAATCTGTTATTTCCAAAGGGATCTGGGCAGTTGATTTGCCTACTCTTTTTTTAATGTTCAATTTTTGTCCAGTGATCGAAGCTGACTAATGTTTTCTTGTTCTTATTGTGATGATGCCCTAGGCAGGCCAAAAAGTAAGCGAGGACTAACCCTCAAGAAATCTGCTGATGATTGGTCCTCGGCAACATTGCAACGGACTTCTAGCGAACCCCGTCTTGGAAATAAGAGATGATTCATCTTGCTCATTCGTCATTTCCTGATCCGGTTGCTCTTCAGGGAAATGGCTTTGACTTGCATCTACGAAAGTTGTTTGCTTTTGTTTTTTATTTTTGTTCTCCGGCTGGCGGGTAGGTTTCGAGAGGTGGAGTTCTACATTAGATTGCATAGGAGGATATCATTGTAAGTTTAGTACCTTACTAATTATTTCCACTCGTTGTTTTGGTTCATATTAAATCGATAGGTCGAGCTGCCTCTTCGGCTGGCTCTACTTTTTGTTTTGTAAACGACGGTATATGGAGAAAGTAGTTCAATAACAAGTGCAAGGTTTCTATGCACGATTCTTTCTGCTATGCAAGTTTACAGAAATATTCAGATCTGTACAATAAGAAGTAAATAAATGAAGACTTCCCTCAATTCTCGACTTTCAATTTCTGTTGTGTTCCTAGTTCGAGTTTAAACAAAGATATTACTTCAAGACCAAGAAGGAACATGCGTGATGTATGCTCGCTGGGATTCCTTCAATATTTTTCTTGGATACAAGCAAAATCGAGGGAAAACGAAATCAAACAAGAGACCTTAGGCGTAGTGATAAATTCTCGCTCCCATCGTGAATTTACAAATTTACAACTTGCATGCTCTGCAATAAATGGCCACGATACTAAACAAGCTTTATTGGCATCAAATTTGTAATAAGCTTTTCTGGCACAACAATTAAGCTATTCTTTTTTTTCTTTTTTTCTTTTTTTTAACATATCAACACAAATTGATGACAAACTAATCTTTCATGCAACTCTAATACCACATGAGACTGCATCGTACCTTTGATCCCCAAGTTAAAAGGTCGGCTAAAGAATGGTCAAGAGAATGTATCAGTGTGGAATTCATAACAATTAACCTATTATGGAGGGTGATATTTGCAGATAAAGGAAATGTCACCTCTATTAAATATGTGGAGTCTAAATGAGCTCAGTAAATATAATACATTACATGTAGTACTATCATTGAATTTTACATGTAGATTATCGTTTAATTACTTGGTATTTGTATTTAAAACTCATCCCAGACACAAGTACCTTTACATTCTTGTAAACTATTTGGAACACCAGTACCTTTACCAATTTCAATAGGAAATTGAAAATCACAAGAACACAACTTCAACCCTTTCATAGTAAAAACAGTCACCTCTCCGTCACTCATCCCAGCAGAGAAGAATGACAGTGCACCTCCACATGATATAAAATCTCGTCCGCTGCTCCCTCATCAACCTCGAGCATTTCTCCCACGACCGGAGCTTGGGCGTTCGAACGGAGGAGGACAACTCTCCCTTCATGTTAGACGGCAACTGGTGAGACTATTTCAGGCAGAGAGAGAGAGAGAGAGAAGAGAGAGAGAGAGAGAGAGAGAGATACTTGTACGTTGGTATGAAAAATTTCAAGGTTGCAATATTGGTCATGGAAGAACTTGAGCTAGCTAGAGCCTTGCCTTATAGAGAGGCACATAGGAAGATATGTTGAGGCAGTACATGGTAGGGTGACAAGTGTCGGCCGTAAATGGGTTTACAAGGAGTGGGACTCCCATTGAGAACAAAGATGACAAAACAGAAACATGAGCTTTGTCTCCCTGTTCAATCACCTGAAAAACTTGACAAGGATTGGAGGTTTTCATCCCAATCTCAAGGCCATCTCTGTTCAGAGTAGGATTCACTTCCCTCTTTTTTTCTCCCCGTGTTCCTCCCCTCTATTTGAACGGTCACGGTTTAATCACATCAACATCTTATATTAATTTTTTTATAACAAGATTAGACAAAATAAGAGAATGTGAGAGGAAAGAATGGAAGAGGATGGAAAAAAAAGGGGAGAGAATCCTAATCCCCTCTGTCCGCCATTATTATAGGCTGTAATTTGTCCACTGAATTAACTAACTATACTATATATGTGTGTGTCTAGCTATGTATATTTATATATTTATATTATCTATGTATGTTAAGGATATAGATGGCTTAACAAATTAAACTATTCTCTTCCAGAATTTCAGGAGCTTTTGGATGGATTCCTTAAAACTTATTTACAAGATATGTACAAGATTTATACATGTATATATATAAAGAATATATAAGACTGTATGCTTGAGTAGGTACATATATAAATACTTCATGCTTGGATTTCTCGTACTTTGTAATTTTATGTAGTTGCTGATCAACACCACAAAATCCACCTTGTTAGATCATGTTCCCATCTTGTGCTATATTATAGGAAACACAAAAAAAAAAACATACTCAAAACAATATTTACAACTTAAAATTTGCACTTACACAAAAATATTATTCTCGATAAATTAAGCTGATCACTATAAACATCTCACTCTTAACTAAGAGAAAACATTAATAGAGTGCGTCAATGATATAGTAGAACCTCTTCTTAATTAAGAAATTCATCAAGCAACCAAAAACATATACCTCATTTTCTTTTTCTATACTCTCATTGAATAATCATGTCACGTGATAATAGATAAAAGTAGTGGAATACATCTCTGATTACATTGGATAATTTCTCACAATCTAAGATACATGCTTCTTCACATATCAACACCTAAGGATCGATATAGAACGTACTAATTTTACGCATACATATTATGGGACTGCATGCAATGCATGGCCCGAACCATCAAGCGTACTTGTGCCAACCAAGAAGCATAGAAATGCAAACCCTAGTAATATAGAGCTTCCCTTTTTGTTGCCTCACCATTCTTTTCCACTTGGCAAGTCTCCTGCCCAAGCTTCCCATGACCAATATCTATGGCTTTGCTACTTTCACGAACAAATTATGACTCTTCCTTCAATTCCAAACCCTAATTTAGTGGCTTAAGATCTCAAGCACTTGTCTTGGAATATTTTAACATCCACTCCTTATAAACTAGCTTCAAGCCTTCCAAATGGTAAGTCGCAGGGTCCACTTGTACCTTCACATCACCTCCATGCCACCTGCACTAGCAGCGTGTATCTCTCTCACCTTAAAAGTCCTCATCGGATAAATTTTGCCTGCCATTAATGATTATCCCTCTTGTTGAAACTAGTTCTAAGTAGAACAGTTGAGATTCCTGTTGCAGTTAGATGCCCCATATGTGCTATGATTTTGCTTTAGAAAGTTTTTGGTGTGAACGTTTGTTATCCCACTCATATGAAAATATCAACTTTGATGGTATAACTCATATTATAACACATTCATTAATTAGTAATATCATACGACGACTGAAAGCTTTTCTTAAATAATGAAACTTTTGAAATTTTGGTCACTCCAGTTGACCAAGTTGGCTTCTCCAAATGGAGAAATACCATTGTAGTGTCCCAAACCAGTAATATAATGTCTTGTGAGAAAAGTTATAATACACAATAATTGTATTATTGATTTCAACACTACAATGACATTTCATAGTGTAGATAACTCCTTCACTCCAAAGATACTGTGGCATTGTGTTCTCATTGCCAAGTCCCCCAAGAACATCACAATCACATTTCACACTTCATGCGTCTAATCATGTCTCATTACCATGTACACGATTAGCAATTGAAATGTTCTCAAACCTTATCTTATAAGTAGAAAGCATGAAACGACAAGATTTTTTATTATACTTAAATCCATGTGGACCTATGGGAAAATGATCTACTATTATCCAGCTGACATAGATCCAAATCAGATTGGCCCTATGAACAATATCTCAATGAGAGTCGTACATACTTAGAGATGAGGCAGGTGTGTGTGTTAGCAACTTGGGGACACCATCAAAATGTCACTGAACTACTTTAGTTAGGAGATAATTAGAAAGATTGGAAAATTCCAAGTTGGTGGGGAGTGCTTTCTTTTGTTGCATTAATTTGTTGGGATGTTTAGGAAGTGAAGTTAAGGGGAAGTGGGTTGATCTTTTGAGTTGAGACTGTGACTAACTGAGACACCATAATCACAACAGTCCCTTTCAACAGACATAACGAGCAAATAGCTGCATCGTTGGACTGTCAAAGAGAAAAATATTCATATACCAAAACATGGTGACAACCTACACCTGGTAGGGTTTAGCTCATATATTGGGTGACTCCAAGTAAAACAGAAGGAAGGGTGGAAAAGGAAGAGAAATTTTTTTTGTGTGATAGACGTATCAACATGAGGTGCCATAAATTCACATGTTACGCCATATTTAATATAAGTAATGCTATTCTTGCTATCTAAATATACCACACTTTTACTATCTTATGTGACAATTGAGGTGTGTAAGCCATATCAATTATAAAAAATATTGTGAAAAATAAGGTGGATAATCACATCAAAATCTCAAATTTAAAACCCTAGTTTTGTACGTTTTCATGCCTCCCTCCATGTAGCCTCCTCCTCTCTCTCCTCTGTCCACATTCACATCGCTTCTTCAACCTCCTGACTATCAGAGCTCCAACCCATCCTTCTTCGACGAATGAACTGATGGTAACTATTTCAGAGATTATATGGTTAGAAGTTCTCAAACTGTCAAGCATCGCATCGATTAACCGCCGCTAATGAGCACTTCCCATCAGATTGTCAAATTTTTCAAGTTCTGACCCAATTAGTTATCAACAAAGGATATGGATAATTCATCAACATCGACGAATGATATAACCTGAACAAATTAATCATGAGTTAGAAGATTTAATTCTATGGACATGTAGATCAACAACATTTGGGAGAATAAACAAAACCAATCTTGAGAAGCAGGTTGTACAAAAGAAAGAGGTGAGGGAGGAAGATAAACTAACGACACCTAAAATTTAGGGTTTGAATTATTTCTTAAATTTTTTATTAATGAAAATTTGAAATTTTTTATTAATATGATTATCTACCTCAAATTTTATTTATGTGATTATCTACCTCAATTGCCACAAAATTCTTTTTAATTGACTTAGTTGTCCACCTCATCTGTCACATCAGTGATATAAAATTGTGATAAATTTAAATGGTAAGAATAATATTGTTAATTTAATACATCAGTGTCTAATAAAATAGTAGAAATAAATAAATATGCATGTTATAACACAAATGAGTAATATCAAGGGAGCTTTATATATAGAGATAAAAACTTTCACTATATTTCAATGAACTCCATGCTTTAGGGCTGTTAAGAGAATCCAGCCCTTACAAATCTAACAAAATTAATATGTGTCATAAGCTTATCCTCAACTATTTATGCATAATCAGTTTTTAAAATTTATGCAGAATCAGTTTGTATCCTTTATTACTAGAATCAGTTCAACCCGTCACCGACTATTTATGCAAAATCAGTTCAACTCGTCTTCAACCATTTTTGTAGAACCAGTCCAACCTGTCCTCGACCACTTTTGAAAAATCAGTCTAACCCGTCCTCGACCATTTTTGCAGAATCAATTCAACACGTTCTCGATAATTTTTGCAAAATCAGTTCAACCCATCTTTGACCATTCTTACCGAATTAGTTTATCCGTTTTTGACCATTTTTGCAGAATCAATTCAACCCATTCTCAACCATTTTTGCATAATCAGTTCAACCCGTCTTTATCAAATTTGTAGAATCAATTAGTTCAACCCATCTTCGATTATTTTTGCAGAATCAATTTAACCCCTTTTTGACCAATTTAGCATAATTAGTTCAACCAGTCTTTGACCATTTTTCTAGAATCAGTCCAACTCATCTTTAACCATTTTTACAGAATCAGTCAATCCCGTTATCGACCATTTTGGCAAAATCAGTTCAACCCGTCTATGACCATTTTTGTAGAATCAGTTCAACCCGTTGTCGACCATTTTTCTAGAATCAATTCAGCCTGTCCTCATTCAACCCGTCCTCGACCATTTTTGCAGAATCAGTTCAACCCATCTTTGACCATTGTTGCAGAATCAGTTTCAAATATGTACAACATGAACAAAATTACATACATGTCATTAGTCCAACCTGACCTTGATCATTTTTGTATAATTAGTTATAAATACATGTAGAGTCAATTTTATATAATTTTTAGTAAAGCAAATTTGTGTAGTTTTTAGCAAAATCAATTTTAACCTAGAAAAGATATTTGAGTCTTTCATTTTCTTTTTCTTTCAGCAACAGAACTGACCTTCTTTACCATAAACACTCCATCATATATTGTTTCGATAATGAGAGGGAAAATGCGGTTAGAAAACTCCCCAACTTAAAGTACCAACGGGCTAAAGTGATTTTCTTATCGGTAAATGGGTGCTTGAAATGCCTTTTGAGTATGGAATGGGAAGCAACAAAAATGAAAATGAAATATTTAAGCAGCTTCTCATTAAGTTGCTAACCCAAACTCAACAAAATCTCTCCACTACTTTTCAATCACCATCAGCAACGTAATCAGATTACACTTCGAATAAATTACCGACAACGTAAATAAAAAATCAACACAACATTTCACATCGCACTGAGTACGCGAGTCAATGAACAACCAAATTAAAAACTAAAAAAATGAAACACTCGTCCACCTCTTCAAACATCAGAGTCTAACTTCTGCACCAAGCCTTTCTTATTGCCTGACAGTTTGTTGTATTCCCATTTTTTTTAGTAGGTGACCTTGCATGCCATCTAATTTCTGCACCCATATGAACAAGTCTATCTTATTGCTTCACATTAGGTCGTTATTTTGGAGAAATTGGTGAGTCTGAACCCTGTGTAATCATAGGAGCACCATATCCATATGACACATGAGATGAGAACCACCATGTACTTCTAAAACTAAACTTGGAGACTTTAACGAAGCTGAAGGCAATCTAGTACACTAAAATGTTCCTGAAGAACTGAAACTTGTAAATTGAAAGATGACCTTGTAGTCCAAATTGACCATGCCAATAGCCATGTGCGGCTCATTTGCAAACTATAAATAAAAGTCAAAATAAATGGGTTACATCGCTACTTCCACATTTTTTCTACACCAGAAGAAAAGAAGGAACAATTTAAACCAAAGATGAATATTCACCTGAGCATTAGCCTTGAGAGTGAGCCGGTCAGTTGTTGATCTTCCCTCAAATTTTCATAAGATCTTATAAAACAAGACTAATTCTCTGATCAATGTGATCAGCTGTTGAGCCCTAATTGAAACGCAATCACCAATTCACACTTAGTAAACACGCATGCTTCCCAATTAACAACTCCACGAGTACACAATCCACATATAGAAACAACTCAACTTTGCAATCAAAGCCTTCATCTGAAACGTTGGCGTCGTAAACAGAAGTCTGCTATAGCTTGGGTTTATGCAACTACTCCTGCTGCTGCTGAGTTTGGTAGTACACCAGAGCACCACTGGTGCTGCTCCTCCTGTTGAGAGCAGCAGCGGCAGCAGCAGTCTGGTTTTTCCTGGAGCTTGGAGCCGATTGAAACATGGGAGGTATACTTGGGGGTAGTGAAGACGGAGTAGAGGCGATGGTCGGGAGGGATGTAAATGGAGCCGTACGAGGAAGGAGGCCGGTCCTTCATCGCCAGGAGTGAGGGTTTGGTAGAGGAGACAAAGGGTTTTGAAGGTGAGGCGATGGCACGTGAGGTAGATGTCTGTGAAAGAATTTACCACTATAAAGGATAATTTTGTAACATACTGTTTGGGCCCAAAATAATATTGTTGGGCCGAGCAGCAGGATGTGCTCGGGCCCAAGGCTATGCCAAATACTATGGGCCGAATGATAAATCCTGGGCCAATTGGCAGGGTCGGTCAAGTCTTATCCTAAGTTGTCCGGATAAATAGAAAAGGTCGAGGAAGTCCTGGTGCGACCAGGATTCCCGACCGGCAAAGAATAAAGCCTCGAAAAGAGGGAAAGTTCAGAATCCCAGCAGGAGTAGGTTTGTTCGAGTTAGAGTTGAAACGGGACAAGGACTCCCAATCCAGATCAGGATGCAAATCGGTCTCAAGGAATGGGGTGCTATAAATACAAGAAATCATGCAACAGAAAAGGACATTCAATTCAGCATACAATTGCCCTGCGCAAAACCTCTCAAACACCTTGAGATTTTTCCTTTTTCTTTTTTGCCGACGCACCTTCAATTTGGATAAACAGCACTGTGGAGGCACCCGGCGAGCACCTTCAGTTTGGATAAACAGCACTGCTGCCGCAGAATCAGCCGATCGAGAAGCACCTTCAGTTTGGATAAGCAGCACTGCGTCAAGGCCGACCGGTTACCTATCTAAGTCTCGGCCGAGAAGGGTTTTTCTAGCCCTTGTTGGTAGAGGTCACCTTACTAGCCTCCCCGGCGTAGTTAGGTGTTACGAATTGTGTTACTCGGCGTACTGGACGCCGAGTGATTTTATGATTGGATACTCGCAAGTAAGTTTCAGGGTTCGACATTCCGACGGCCGAACTACATTTACCATCAAGACATACATCACATTTGAGTATCTGTGCCCATATAGTTTGGTCTCGATTCGACGTGCTTATACTCTTATGAATATAATCACAGTGACCGAATCGAGCTCCAAACGATTTGTGAACTCTGTAGAATTAGTAGCCTTGTCTTCAGGCTATAGAACCCAGAGACCGAGAGTGTTCCTTCCTCGGCCGCAATCGCAAGATAGAGAAGTCATCGACGCGCTCGACGCGACGTCAACAAATTTTACTCCTCGGCCAAGCTCGGCCGACGAGTTGGCACGCCCCGCATTCAACCGAATGACGTAGTTAGCTTATTAGTTACTCGGCCTGCGCGCCACATAGGTTCTGTAATTTTTAGGGTCAACACATACAATATAAAAATAAAAAATAAAAACAAGGTTAGAGTGCTAATATCCCCACACCTCTGTGTCTTATTTTCTCACCCAAATCTTAATAAAAATTGCTCGACCAACCATTGATGGAAAGAGATGAATGGAACGGAGACACTGGCACGGACTCCCAACTGACTACTCCTTTGTTATCCAAGCAGGATGGAAAGCCGGACAGTGTTGTTGTTGATATACCCAAGATACCAAGGCCCCCCTCATAGACACAAGGAAACTTTTTCACCCCATAGTGATAAAGCAACAAATGGTTTGCTCCAGGTATCAGAGGATATCGAGGAGGGTGAAGTCATTGGGATTATCACTCTGGAAGATGTATTTAAAGAACTCCTGCAGGTAAGGTACACGCAACTGATACTCTTGTACTTTCAGCTAATGAAAATTGTTTATTTGCGTGTAGTGATGATTGTCTTGAAAAATGCAGGAGGAGATTGTGGATGAAACAGATGAATAAGTTGATGTACATAAAAGGTATCATAGAGTGACAAAAGCAAATAGTTGGTTGACATTATGTACGAAAGTTATAATTTGAAAGTGGATTAATCTTCTTCTTCTTTGCAGAATACGTGTCGCTGCAGCTGCAGCTGCTTCATCAGTGGCACGGGCTCCATCGACTTGGAGGTTAAATGTGAACAAGGGACCTGCCACTGGACAAAATGTTATTTTCAAAGGGGTCTGGGCAGTTGATTTGCCTCTCAACTTCACTCTTTCTTTTAATGTTCAATTTTTGTCCGGTGGTCGAAGTTGACTAATGTTTTCTTGTTCTTATTGTGATGATGACCTAGGCAGGCCAAAAAGTAAGAAAGGACTAACCCTCAAGAAATCTGCTGATGATTGGTCCTCGGCAACATTGTAACGGACTTCTGGCGAACCCCATCTTGGAAATAAGAGATGATTCATCTTGCTCATTCGTCATTTCCTGATCCGATTGCTCCTCAGGGAATTGGCTTTGACTTGCATCTACGAAAGTAGTTTGCTTTTGTTTTCGATTTTTGTTCTCCGGGTGGCGGGTAGGTTTCGAGAGGTGGAGTTCTACATTAGATTGCATAGGAGGATATCATTGTAAGTTTAGTACCTTACCAATTATTTCCACTCGTTTTTTTGGTTCATATTAAATCGATTGGTCGAGCTGCCTCTTCGGCTGGCTCTACTTTTTGTTTTGTAAACGATGGTATATGGAGAAAGTAGTTCAATAACAAGTGCAAGGTTTCTATGCACGATTCTTTCTGCTATGCAAGTTTTCAGAAATATTCAGATCTGTACAATAAGAAGTAAATAAATGAAGACAGTTTGTTCCTTCAATTCTCGACTTTCAATTTCTGTTGTGTTCCTAGTTCGAGTTTAAACGAAGATATTACTTCAAGACCAAGAAAGAACTTGCGTGATGCATGCTCGCTGAGGATTCCTTCAATATTTTTCTTGGATTCAAGCGATATTGAGGAAAAACGGAATCAAACGAGAGACCTCGGGTGTAGTGATAAATTTTCACTCCCATTGTGAATTTACAAATTTGGAACTTTCATGCTTTGCAATAAATGGCCACAATACTAAACAAGCTTTATTGGCATCAAATTTGTAATAAGCTTTTCTGGCACAACAATTAAGCTATTCTTTTATTTCTATATTTCTTTTTTTAATATCCCAACATGATGATAGACTAATCTCTTATGCAACTCTAATACCACATGAGACGGCATTATATCTTTGATCTCTGAGTTAAGAGGTAGGCTAAAGCATGGTTCAAAAGAATGCATAAGTGCAAAATTCACAACAATTAACCTATTTTGGAGGGTGATAGTTGCAGATAAAGAAAATGTCACATCTATTACATATGTGGAGTCTAAATGAGCTCAGTAAATATAGTACATGGTATTAGTATTTGAACTCATCCCAGACACAGGTAGCATTACATTCTTGAAAACTATTTGGATCCAATTTCAATAGGAAATTCAAAATCACAAGAACACAACTTCAACCCTTTCATAGTAAAAACAGTCACCTCTCCATCACTCATCCCAGTAGAGAAGTATGACAGTACACCTCCACATGATATAAAATCGCGTCCACTACTCCCTCATCAACCTCAAGCATTTCTCCCACGACCAGAGCTTGGGCGTTCAAACGGAGGACAACTCTCCCTTCATGTTAGACGGCAACTGTCGAGACTATTTCAGGCACAGAGAGAGAGAGAGAGAGAGAGAGAAATACTTGTACGTTGGTATGAAAAATTTCAAGGTTGCAATATTGGTCATGGAAGAACTTGAGCTAGCTATAGCTTTGCCTTATAGAGAGGCACATAGGAAGGATCTGATGAGGCAGTACTTGGTAGGGTGACAAGTGTCGGCCGTAAATGGGTTTACAAGGAGTGGGGCTCCCATTGAGAACAAAGATGGCAAAGCAGACACATGAGCTTTGTCTCCCCGTTCAATCACCTGAAAAACTCGACAAGGATTGGAGTTTTTCATCCCAATCTCAAGGCCACCTCTGTCCGCCATTATTATAGGCTGTAATTTGTCCACTGAATGAACTAACTATACTATATATGTGTGTGTCTAGCTATGTATATTTATATATTTATATTATCTGTGTATGTTAAGGATATAGATGGCTTAACAAATTAAACTATTTCTCTTCCAGAATTTCAGGGAGCTTTTGGATGGATTCCTTAAAACTTATTTACAATATCTGTACAAGATTTATACATGTGTGTGTGTGTAAAGAATATATAAGACTGCATGCTTGAGTAGGTACATATATAAATACTTCACGATTGGATTTGTCACATCCCGGCCCAGGGCGGACCCCTTCCCGGGTCCGCTCCACCACTGTAACACGATATTGTCTGCTTTTGGCCCCGACCACGCCCTCACGGTTTTGTTTCTGGGAACTCACACGAGAACTTCCCGATGGGTCACCCATCCTGGGAGTGCTTTCGTGCGCTACTCGCTTAACTTCGGAGTTCCCATGGAACCCGAAGCCGGTGAACTCCCAAAAGACCTCGTGCTAGGTAGGGATGGGAATATACATTTAAGGATCACTCCCCTGGGCGATGTGGGATGTTACAGGATTTCTCGTACTTTGTAATTTTATATAGTTGCTAATCAACACCACAAAGTCCACCTTGTTAGATCATGTTCCCATCTTGTGCTATATTATTGTAGGAAACACACAAAAAAAACATACTCAAAACAATATTTACAACTTAAAATTTGCACTTACACAAAAATATTATTCTCGATAAATTAAACTGATCACTATAGACATCTCACACTCTTAACTAGGAAAAAACATTAATAGAGTGCGTCAATGATACAATAAAACCTCTTCTTAATTAAGAAATTCACCATGCAACCGAAGACATGTCCCTCATTTTCTTTTTCTATACTCTCATTGAATGATCATGTCACGTGATAAGAGATATAAGAATAATGGAATACATCTTTGATTACACTTGAGAATTTCTCACAATCTAACATCCATGCTTCTTCACATATCAACACCTAACGATCGATATAGAACGTACTAATTTTACGCATACATATTATGGGACTGCATGCAATGCATGGCCCGAACGATCAAGCGCAAACCAGGAGGCATAGAAATGCAAACCCTAGTAATATAGAGCTTCCCTTTTTGTTGCCTAACCATTCTTTTCAACGTGGCAAGTCTCCTGCCCAAGCTTCCCACGACCAATATCTATAGCTTTTCTACTTTCACGAATAAATTATGACTCTTCCTTCAATTCTAAACCCTAATTTAGTGGCTTAAGATTAGACCTGGCATTCGTGTCGTGTTTCTCATGTTCGTGTCGTTTTCGTGTCATAC